TCCTGCTCCTGCTCCTGCTCCTGCTCCTGCTCCTGCTCCTGCTCCTGCTGCTCCTTTTCCTGCCTTTCCCTCCTTCCTCCCCCCCTTGCCTCCTCCACCTTCCCTCATCCTCCTTCATCCCTTGTCGTCATTTCCTCCTCCTCTTCCTCCTCCTCCTCCTCCTCCTTCCTCACCTGAGGCTTCAACACCTCGGCCAACGGCATACATCCCTGCCGCAGCTCCGTCATAAGATCGTCTCTCCTCCCTCCCTCTCACGTTCTCCGTCATCTTGTCCGACGTGATTGTCCGCGATCCTGTGCTCAGAGCAAACAGAACTCCCACGTCCGGCTCTGCCCTCAGTCGCTCGCACACGGTTAAGTACTTCGTCGTCAGCCTCCCGCTCCACGTGGTCCCTTCTATGACACTCATCCTATCCTCCAACGACTTCTTCAGCCGCCCGATGCTCGCGTCCCGTTCTGCCAGCTCCTCCTCCAGCCTCTGTGTCAGAGTCTGCAGCTCGTCCTCCAGTCTCCTCGTCGCCAGCCTGAGCACGTTGATCTCCTGGTCTTTCTTCTCCAGCGCGTTTTCCAGCTGCAGGGTATCAGCTGCTCTTGCCCTTCCTCCCTTCAGTCGTACCTGCGCAATTTTGTCGCTTCCCCTCGACATGGCTTCTGCTTCTCCTCTCCTCGTCCTCCTCTCCTTCTTCCTCCTCCTCCTCCTCCTCAAACTCTGGCTTCGCTCACGGGCAGGCCTTAGCTCAAGGCGACATCAGGGCAGGCTGTTGGAAGGTCAATCTCGAGAGGACGGAGAAGGCAAACCATATCTCCCTATCTCCCTCCTCCTCGCCTTCATCCTTCCTATCTGAAGACTCTCGTCATCACTCCCCCTCATTTCCTCGACTCCCTCTTCATCCTTCTTCTCCTCTCCTCCTCTCACAACCCTGCTAGATTCTCCTTGTCCGCATTTTCTTCCTCTTCTCCTCCTTCATCTCCTTGCTCATCCATCGTCCCCTTCCCGCTCCTCTTCTTCGAATTCTGCTGCTTCTCCCCTCTGAGTACGCCCTTCTTTCTCTCTTTCCTTCCCTCCCTCCGTCCTTTCTTCTTTCCCCTCCTACCTTCTTTCTCCCAAGTTCCTTCCTTCCTTCCTTCCTTCCTTCTTGTCGTCGACATCTGATGAGATTGCTCTTCTCTCTTCTCTCTCTTCTCTCTCTCTCTCTCTCTCTCTCTCTCTCTCTCTCTCTCTCTCTCTCTCTCTCTCTCTCTCTCTCTCTCTCTCTCTCTCTCTCTCTCTCTCTCTCTCTCTCTCTCTCTCTCTCTCTCTCTCTCTCT